CAATTAGCAAAATGGGTTGGTGGTTCCATGCTGTTTGCAGGTATGAGTTTCCTACTTGTTGTATAACTCTACAGCTCCTCTAAGCACAGAAATCCTAAAATTGCCCAGAATATTGTCTTCTACTCATATATGTTCATCATCTTGAGTTACTTATAAAGTGATAAAAATGGGGTAAACATCTAAATAAATAAATAATACATTTATGAAACAATACAAAGGGTAGTACCCTAAAACCTATGTCTAAAACTTATATCTGATAGATAGAACAAAAACAATGTTAGGATAAGCCTGATATTCAAATTCAGTCTTCTAATAAAATATTTCCTGATCTTTTCCCACATGAAGCCTCTTAAAGCCTGTAATGCACATAGAAAAAAAAGCTTCTGTTGTGAAACCTCCAGTGTCTTTTTAAATCTATTTCTTTTCTTCCTAGATTTTGACAAGATTAACACAATGCATTTATTCCTTTTATAATATTGCCTATCTCCACATATTGCTATTTTTTATGTACCATGAAATAGAGAAACCTTTTTTATACAATAGGGATTTCAACAATCCTTTACTAACAGATTTATTTGATATAACAGATCAAAAGCAATGTAATAAAGAATTCAGTTTAAGCAAAAAAACATAATATACAAAAATTTCACTAGACATTGCAGTCCATTTCCACCAGCTTGGAAAAACTCATGAAAAATTAAATATGAAATAGTTATTAGTTTTGCCCCATTTATAAAAGAAATGTTTTTAAACCACATATTTATAACACTTAGCCAATAACAATATCCCATTCTTCACAATGTGGGTAAGAGTTAAGACAAAAATAAAATTTATGGGGAATGAATTGATGATGTTTAGCTGCAATAAGCACTGGCAGAAATTGAACTACAGCTAGTAGAAGAGAAATGTTTAAAACAAAGCATTTTGTATGTGAAAATTATATTTGACCTTTTTTCTATTAGGCAGCTTCCAATTACATGCAGCAAAAAATATAATTAAAACACATTTACAAAGAATTGAACCTGCATAAACATATTCCCCCTTTCTTTCTCCCCCACATAGAAGCACATGCATCTCTCTTTATTAATCCCCAAATGTATGGGCATATCTGGTATTTTGCCAGAACATCCAGCGTCATTTGGCTTTTTTAAATAAACAGATAATTGCATCCCACTTGTGATAAAACAAATCATATTGTATGCAATTAGCCTTTGATAACACACTGGAATTAAACATTTTCCTTGATCCTTAAAATGTCATTTCTGAAGTCCCACAAATATTTCCAAACCAGCAAACAACTTCCAAAATATTTATTATTTCATTATTATATTGCACAATAGCATTTAAATATGAGAGATTATGGTGGCAGCAAGGACAATTATGTTAAATTGTACAAAGTACGCCTAACTTCTATACCCATTAGCAAATCTAAAATTCAAAGCACACGATTCTCTGTCTTTCTGTGGGGGGATTTTGGACTGGGCAATGCAGTGTTGCATTGATACAATTCAACCACCTTCCCTAGAAATAATCTTTGCCCCTCACCAATCACACTTAAAGAATTTAGAATTTATCATTACCAAATGTTTATCTTGGTTATGTTTGTCAAATTCTCTTCTGCCACTTCCCAAACTCAACTGTAGATGTGCAGGAAGTTAAGAACCATGGCTACCCCATGCAAACAGTGCTAAACTCTTATTAACACTAACAGTGGAAGAGAAGGAAGAATTTGCATTAGACAGACTAGAACAAAGGTAATTCATTCTGCATGGCCCTGGCAAATAATCTACAAATTATGGATCACCACATGTATTGCACAGGAGTCACTGGCTAACTTCAATAATGGTAAAACAGATTTCCAAAATAACCTATCTTACTGTGGATAAGTTGCATGCTAAAGAGTCCAATCCCTGACTCTTACAGCCAAGTTGACTATTCTCATAGCTAAATTAGCCTGGATTACAATCCAAGATAGTTTCTGGCTATCCTAAAGGTGCTTTGTCAAAAGGAAACTGGACTTTCTTCAGTTCTGACTCTGAATTCCAATTAGCTTGGTAACAGAAATCTCACTGGGAAGCCCTGGTAAACTTTCAATTCCTGGTTAATTTAGCTACTCTTGTGTGCAGGATTTATGCCTCCTGGAAGTCAGGAATTAATACAATTCTGGTTTTCTACTGTTGTGTGCAAACATAACAATTTTTTATCTGCAACATTAGATAATGGAAAGGCTTAACTTTTAGTTAAACTACCTGCATCTTACAGTTGTCTATTAGGCAGCCATCTTCTGCCAGTTAAAAATTACTCGACATTCAAGGTATCTAAACTAAATCCAACAAGACTGTTAATCACTACAAATTAAATAGTAAGATCTGTGCTAACAGTTTCTGGATGAAGACACATGAGGAGTTTCATTGTCAAATGAGAAGTGGGGCACGTTTTGTTCTTAATTGCACATAAATTATTGTGATTATTATATGGCTAAAATGCATTTATCTATTAACACCTCAGAGGAATAAATCTGAACAAAGGAATTATGCATTACATCTTGAAATTATGCTGAACAAAGGAATGAATTAGTGCCATGCAAAAGGTATTGCAATTACAATAATGGATGAAAATAACAAAAAAGACTGCTGTAAATCTTTAATACTAAGAAAATCAAAATAACCTTTAGACTTGAAATAGCTATTTCCTCATTGCAAGAACATCTTTTTCAAGATGCTATGATGGTACCATCTGTCAGATCAGACCACTGGTTTGTTTAACTCAGTATGGTCCATTCTTGGCAGATAGTGACTGTTCAGATTTTCAACCAAACGTATTTCTTTATCATGCTACAAAAATATCCTTTTCAATGATGATACTAGAGACTGAATTTGAAGTGCTTTGCTGATAAATATGTATTTAAGCTCTGAACTATAAAAATATAATCTCCTTTGAGATAAGCTAATTCCAGATGACTTCATTGATACATCAATTCAGGTTTCTCTGCAACAGGACAGAAACTGTTCGCTATTACTGCTAATTGCTCATTCTGATCCAAAAAACATTCCTAATTTTCTCTGAATGTGTTTTACTATGTCATAATACTAAAATCAATCTACCTACCTACCTACCTATCTACGTACGTACTATTTTTAAACCACCCAATTTCTTCATAGAGGGACTCCCATTGTCCTAGCATTTCAAATAAAACTACCACAGGCATCCATGTGGAGGAGCAAATGATGAAATATGACGTCGTGTTGCAAAACCTGTGTTTGATGTTGCGGTGCAAATACAAAAAAGCCAAAGCTTTTGCCTGTTAAGTCACAATAAACATTTCATTATTTTTTTTCATCATAATGGTTGACAACAGATGCTTATGAAAACCACATCTTTTTTTTTTTTTGTACTTTTTCTGTTTCCCTTTAGCAATAGGGCATTGCATGGCAAAAATCACAAAGGAAAGGGGATCTGGTAAAAAAAAAATAAGAAATGCTTTCAAAATGAGGCAGCAATGTTTGTCTATTGCTATGGTTGTAAGGAAATGTGACTTTAGTCAGTAAACAGCAGAGAGAAGAGTCAGTTGCAGAATCCAGAAATAATAGGAGCAAGACTTAGCTGGAAAGAGAAGTTTCTATTACAGAAAGCAGATTAAGGAGTGCAAGCAGTTTGTACAATTTTGTTATTGTAAATACAGTGAAATTAGCATTCAACTGAAAGTTTCAAGCCAGTTTATAAAGAATAAACAATAGTGATGATAGCAACTGCTACCAGTGCTGCTAAATTATATATTATCATCTGCATCAATGCAATATGATGCATGGATCATATTTGGAGCCGCTGACAACTCTATTCAGAAATTGGATGGTGCTGGATGAATCCTGGAACCCTACCACTGGAACAAATTCTAAGCCAGAAGTAACCTCTGCCCCGTAGAGCAGGGGTATCAAACTGCCGGCCTGCAGGCCGGACGCGTCATGTGGAAGCCACACCTATCCCATTGCCGGCAATGGCAAAACCAGCCTGATACGTTGCGTGATGTTACATGACATCGCAAGTTTGACATGCCTACCTTAGAGCCTTAACTGTCATTTTGCATCATGCTCTCCATTTGCATCAATTTACTCAATAGACCTGCCCCAAAGAGGAAGTCAGTAAAGGTTTAGCTTTAATAGAGATTGGAAACAGAAATAGATGAGCCGACATCAACCACAGAAAAAGCAGCAGATTCTTTATTAGGAGTAAGATGTTCTTCAGGAAAATCACCTGGTATCACTAAGATGCTCCTGGATGAGCCTACAAGGCCAATTAACTTTGTCTCTTTAAAAAATACTGCACAATGTCCAGGAAGAATACTGCACAATGTCCAGGAACAAAATCAGCTCAGATCTCAGAGATTAGTTTTATAGCCAGCAGATGGATGAAGAGAATAACAAATGTGCAAATTGTCTATAATGCCCATATATTTTAAATGCAATAAATGTCCAAATTGGAATTATTTTCCTGCTAGCACAACAGCGTCTTCCTACACTCATATTTTAGGAAAATACAGGCAATGTTTACTAAAAAGCTTTATGTGCAAGTCAATAATTAGCAACCAAAATTTGGTATAAAAGTATATCTAAGAACTAAATCAAATCTTTCAAAATGTCACAACAAATAATAACTACTTATTTTCCATATTAACATGGAAAGGAATACATACATGACTATCTCAGCATGCGTGCATACCATTTATTACCATACCTGGTAATTTTGGAAAAGGGAAATAGCATAATACATCTGACAATTGTATCAAGAAAGCCATTGGCAGCTGAATTATGCATTTCTGGTTGATTCCTCCAAGCTGTGATGATTAATCCATGCTAATACTGTCAGCTGATGTGACCTACAGATTCATTCTGGCTCATATACCACAATAAAATGAACACTATTGCAAAGTAAAGAAACATTAAAAATGCATTGGCTCTAGATATACTGACTACAATGCAAATTTCAATAAATAACAGTGGTACCTTTTCCCCATGGTGTTTACTGTATTAGCCACATTCCGATTCACAAGAGATTTTCTCCTTGATAACTTCTTGGTGCTGGTGCTATCATCAGTGGTATCATCATCTTTCTTTGGTGTGCTACCTCCTTTGCTGTTGAGGTCCCTTAACACATTATAATTAATTTTACTTGAGATCTTCTTCTGTTCCAACATTTTTTCAATTGCCTCTCCTGCTGTGCTGGCCTGGATTAGCTCCCGTTTCTTTGCAGACTTCTTGGGCTTAATTAAAACATAAAGAATAGGAATTTTAGGGGGCAATCAGAATAATTTCGATGAAATCAAAGAACGGGCTACAAATATATCATTTTCAGATGACAAGCCATGGTGAAGAGGCAGGGTAATTGATTAGTTATAACAATGGTTTGTCAAAATTTCAATACAGTTTTAACAATTTTTTGTAGTACCAACACTGTATGGATCCAGAGCGGTATACCTGAATTAAAATCTTGTGAATTTTCTCTCCCTTAAAAATGATGCATTGAAAGAAGTTTTGTTTTGAGTGGCTATCAATGTATATATCATGTAGCAATGTATGTAGGCCTTTAAAATATGTGTTCTTCAACATGTCAAGCCCCATTTTTAAGAGTCGATCCTCGTTTTGTTTTGAATGGCTGTCAATGTATATGCTATGTAGCAATGCTAAGAAGTAGGCATTGCTAAGAAGATATGTTGAAGGAAAATATATTTTCCTTCAACATGTCAGGCCCCATTTTTAAGTGTAGAGCCTGGAAATAAAATTTAATTGTTAGCAAAATTTGAACTACTATGCCCATGGAAAGGGAAAACTGACTTAGGAATCTAAATTAATTTTTCGTTAATTTTAGATCACAATGAAACAACTAAGTGAAATGTTATTACTGCTGGTACTACAACGCTTCCCGTTTTAGTCTTGAATTGGTTATGATAATAATCACATAGCTTCTATGTTTTGACTGTATCTCTTCCAATACTGTACACAATGAAGTTGAAATTTATATTGTAACAAAAGTCACCCTGCCCCTTTTCTATAATATGAACACTAAATAAAACACATCATATAATGAGAATATTTCATCTATGGTCACAACAAATGGAGTGGGTTCATAAAAATACATAATATCAATACGCCATTCCCATTATACAAAAGAGTTTCACTAGAGACTTGACATTTTTGCAAACATTGAAGAATGACACTGAAACTGTAGGCTTACAATCTGCAAAAAGAGAGATTCCACTTACAGCTGTTTTACATTAGAAATTCAAAATAGTAGGTAGCTTTCATATATGGAAGATAAAAAGAAGACTTGTTGAAGTCTTAATAATTTTTTTAGAATGGGAGGGGAAGACATGGATGTAGAAGTGGACAAGATGTAGAGAATTAAAATAAGAAATAAAAAGTTAAGAAATATGCTCAGACATATACTTGTGTACCTTGTCAGGAACAAGACAAGCGAGCAAATTCTATCACAACATCTTAACACTAAGCTAAGAATACAACATAAGATAAAATAATGTAGAATTGATTTGTTTGGTCAGGAATAAGACAGTAATTATTTTTATAAAACACTGGAAACCCTTTATGGACTTTTTGCTGATTTCTTGACTGAAAAAGGTTGAATTTGAGGAGAAGCGAACTATGTAATTAATCTTAAAAAGAGAGGAATGATACTTTCAATAGAAGATAATATATCAAGCTCAGGGTTGAATTATGGAAGAGTGACTCCAGAGTACTCCATAAAACTAAATTTGTAACTCTTATAAAGAAGGTCAAAAGTTGTTTCTTGAAATAACTTTTTTTTTAAAAAAATGTATATATTTTTTTCTTCCTCAAGTTCATTTTCTGTATTTTTTCATCTTTCACTTCTTTATAAATCTCTAATAAAATTATATTAAAAAACAGATAGCATAATTTGACATTTGCTATTATATTTAGTTGGAATTAAGATTGCGTTGGAATAAAGATTGCCAGTAAAAATATCAACAACCTAAGATATGCAGATGATAACACTCTAATGGCAGAAAGTGAAGTGGAACTAAACAGCCTCTTGATGCAGGTGAAGAAGGAGAGTGCAAAAGTTGGCTTGAAACTCAACATTAAGAAAACCAAAATCATGGCCAAAATCATGGCATCTGGCCCTCTCAATTCCTGGCAAATAGATGGGGAAGAAATGGAGGTAGTTGACAGATTTTATTTTCCTGGGCTCCAAGATCACCTCAGATGGGGACTGCAGCCAAGAAATTAAAAGACGCTTGCTCCTGGGGAGGAAAGCTATGGCAAATCTAGACAGCATACTAAAAAGCAGAGACATCACCCTGCCAACAAAAGTGCGTATAGTCACGGCCATGGTTTTCCCAGTTGCAATGTATGGATGTTAAAATTGGACCATAAGAAAGGCTGAGTGACAAAGAATTGAGGCCTTTGAACTATGGTGCTGGAGAAGACTCCTGCGAGTCCCTTGGACTACAAGGCGTTCAAACCGGTCAATCCTAGAAGAGATCAACCCCGACTACTCTTTAGAAGGCCAGATCCTGAAGTTAAAACTCAAATACTTTAGCCACCTAATGAGAAGAAAGGACTCACTGGAGAAGGGCCTAATGCTGGGAAAGATTGAGGGGAATAGAAGAATGGGACAACAGAGAATGAGGTGGTTCGATGGAGTCACTGAAGCAGTAGCGTGAACTTAAATGGATTCCAGAAGATGGTAGAGGACAGGAAGACCTGGAGGAACGTTGTCCATGGAGTCGCGATGGGTCGGACATGACTTCGCAATTAACAACAACAATTATATGTAAGCCATCCATAAAACCAATATTTTCACACCTATGTAAAGGGGCTTTAAGATGACATGATAATGGAACTATGAGTATCACATATAATAAATCTACCTACCTGGGCCTACTATACCCCCTTACATTCAATAATTCATATGCTGATCTATATGCCTTTGCAAAGGGAGTACTCCAGCATATAAAAACATGGGAACCTGCTGATGTGAGCTATAGAAACTTTTTACTGGTTGTGTGAACTGGCCTTCTAGGATTTCAGCTGCAATTCTCCTATTGTATCTAAAGCAATCCCACTTATTTCCCCAGAGGCATTATTTACACAGCCTTGAATTGATATTATTTAGCATTGATAGTTTAAAGTCTTGAGATGGATAGTAGCTCACAAATGATTCCGTTCAAACAATCTGATTATGCCAGGGTAGATTAGTTTCCATGTTAAACATTGTGTCAGTTTAACTTTTTCTCCAAAAGTCAGACCAAACTAGACATAATTCTTAATACTCGTAATTTTCAATTCAATAATGTCCTAACTCAGCAGTCAGTATCCTGTCACCATCAAGACTACAATTCACTATATATATATATATATATATATATATATATATATATATATATATACACACACACACACACACACACACACACACACACACACACACACACACACACTGTGTACACATTATTAGGCAAGTGAGTATTTTGACTATATCATCGTCATGCATATTTTCTACCTCCAAGTGCATAAACGTGCTTAGTGCAGCGGTTCCCAACCTTTCCAGCTTGGTGGCCCAGCGCAGGGGGGGATGTGAGTGGCAGGCGCACGCATGCATGCACAGCTCCATTGGTGCGAGCTGCAGGCAGCGTGCCATCCACTTGCACAAATGGAGCTTCATGTGTGAGTGAAGGGCACTTGCATTTGAGCTTAAAGCTCCACTCATGCAAGCAGAGGGCACTTGTGCTTTTATATGAAGTTCCACTCGCATAAGCAACACACACTTGAGATTGCGCGCAAAGCTCCACTCGCTTTATCAGAAGACACTTGTGCAAAGGGCCCTTGTTCTTGTGCCCAAAGCTCCACTCACACGGGCAGCGAGTGCTCATGTGCGAAGCTCCATTCGCACAAATGGAGCTTCATGTGTGAATGGAATTTTGCATTCACTTACCCATCACTCATGGCCCAGTTTCAAACAGGTTGTAGCCCAGTAGTGGGCCAAGGTGCAGGGGATGGGGAACCCTGGCTTAGTGGATATAAACATATCAGGTGTTGTGTATTTGTGTAATGAGCAAGGGTGTGGCCTAATGTGATCAACACCCTGTATCAGGGGTATCAAATTGTCAGCCCACGAGCTGGATGCATCATAGCAAAACTGCACCCACCCCATTGCCAGCAATGGAAAAAAGTCATGGTACATTGTGACACGTCCCGTGATGTTGCAAGTTTGACATCCCTGCCCTATATCAAGATGTGCATAATTATTAGGCAGCTTCTTTTCCTCAGGCAAAATGGGCCAAAAAGAGATTTAACCGACTCTGAAAAGTCAAAAATTATAAAAAGTCTTTCAGAGGGATGCAGCACTATTGAAATTGCTAAGACATTGGGGTGTGATCACAAAACCATCAAACATTTTGTTGCAAATAGTCAACAGGGTCGCAAGAAATGTGTTGAGAAAAAAAAAGATGCACATTAACTGCCAAAGATTTGAGAAGAATCAAACATGCATCTACCAGGAACACATTAGCCTCCAGTGCTGTCATATTCCAGAACTGCAACCTACCTGGAATACCCATAAGTAAAAATTGTTTAATGCTCAGAGCCATGGCTATGGTAAGGAAGGCTGAAGACCAACCACCACTGGACAAGACACGTAAGTTGAAATGGCAAGACTGGGCCAAAAAATATCTGAAGACAGATTTTTTTCAAAAGTTTTATGGACTGATGAGAGTGATTCTTGACGAACCAGATGGATGGGCCCATGGCTGGACCAGTAACAGGCATAGAATTCTACTTTGACTCAGATGCCAGCAAGGTGGAGGTGAGGTACTGGTATGGGCTGGTATTATTAAAGATGAGCTAGTTGGGCCTTTTGGGGCTGAAGATGAGCTCAAAATCAACTCCTAAACATACCACCAGTTTTTAGAAGACACTTTCTTCTAGCAGTGGTACAGGAAAGAAGACCATGATTTTTATGCAGGACAATGTTCCATCACATGCATCGAAGTACTCTACTGCGTGACTAGTCAGTAAAGGACTTAAAGATGAAAGAATAATGACATGGCCTCCTTCCTTACCTGACCTAAATTGTGGGCCCTTGTCAAATGGGAGATTTACGGTGAAGGAAAACAGTACATCTCTCTGAGCAGTGCCTAGGAGGCTATGGTTGCTGCTGCACAAAACGTTGATTGTCAACAGATCAAGAAACTGACAGATTTCATGAATGGAAGACTTATGACTG